TGGACTTCAAGCCAGAAAGAGAAAAGAATCCTCTCACTTAGGTTTGAGGTTCCTCTCTGTGGTTCAGAGTTCTCAGTTGGAAACTAGGGATGATTCATAATATCTTTCGCAGGGCCTGTTGTAAGGATGAAAAAAGCTCAGGTGTGTGAAAGTGCCAAATGCTTAGAATAGTGTCTGCTCTTATCATGGGATCCTAGACTTCCAGGTGGGATTTCTCTGCCCTACTGGGAAATGGGGGGGTGAGTAAAGGAACAGGTGGCAGGGTGAAGACCCTGAGCCTTCTATTCGAAGGCAGGCAAGACACACTGAGAGGCCCCTGGACCTAGATTCCAGCAAGGTTGGGAATTTATGGAGTAGAAGGAAAGGCACTGTTGGGGATTGGGGCATCCCTCAAGACCAGGGCCTTGGAAGAGGACAAGGCCAGGGCCTGACACTCACATGTCCTGGCCATTTGAGGCAAAACCACTGGTCATGCTATAGCTGTGGGAAAAAAGGCACTGCAGATTCCTGAAACCCTTTGAAGGACTCTGATGTAGATAAAAGGAGGAATGGGTGTCAGCTTTGTAACAAAAGCAAATTTCAGGACAGCAATGGTGAAGGAAGAGACTTTATCACTTCTGATAGCTTGGGGGAGGGAGCCACCCTGCCTTCATGCACTTAGGTGTTGGAGAATTGCTGTTGGATGGGAAGGGTGAGAATCAGCTTAGGGGAGCACTCAAGGCTTCCTGCCTGTCCTGGGTCCTCTGAAGGGCCAGCGGTGGGTGTGAGGATGTGGGTCGCTGGGCAGACATCAGCAGAACCAGCTCAGGAAGCTGCCAGGCTCAGGCCCTCAAGAGGCTACCTCAGGGGACTTGAGGAGCAGCAGACATTAGGGGCCAAAACCGTCTAGCTTTCTGTCCCAGATGCCTGGGCCTTTGCTCCCAGAGGTGCAAAGAGGAAGGAGTGCTTGTCCAAATCAGAATTCAGAAGATGCAGGTTCAGCCTGTCTGAATGGAAAATTGTTCTGTGATGCCTCCATGCTGAAGCAGCACAAGCCAGCAACACCCTGTGTGACTCAGATGCAGGGTGGGCGAGGGCTAGGGGAGTGGCTCAGCTATGGTCTTCCAGCCCCTGGAAGTCTGACCTCCTGCAGTCTGAGATGTAGTGGAGTTTGTTCCACAAGGGGTGTCCTGGAGGGGTGCACCTTTCAGTGGGGCTGGATTATCAGAGGGGTGGGCAGCTGCCTTGGAAGAAATGGGAACCAATCATCAGAACCACTCCCTCTGATTCCCCTGTGGAGACCTGGATAAGCGGGAATTTCAGAGGGCAATGGCTTGCACCACAGCCTGGGAAGTACCAGGGACACAACAATATCAGAGGGAGCTGAAGGAAGCTCCCTTTGTTCTTATGAAAAGAGAAACAAAACCATTTTTTTCCTGATCAAATTTTTGCTGACACCCAAGCAACCTCCCCAACTCCTGGCCCCTGGCCTGGGCCTTGCCCCTTCCCTGTGGGGACTACATATTTGTGGCTGGGAGGCCTCCTTGCAGGCCCGGGGGTGCTGGGACTGCGACCACTGAGGTAGACCCAACACCCGCTGCCGCTCTCCTGAGCGGGGTTTTCTTGGGAAGCGAAGCTGTTTCAGCAGATCAGCACGTCTGGTGGCTGGGCTGGGCTTCCGATTCCATTTTAAACGACCCGCGCATCTTATCTCCAGGTCGCCTCCCGGGGGTTCGCGCCCACCCCCTGCCCAGCCTAGCCCAGGCGGAAGCAGGCCGGAGCTTTTGAAGTCCAGAGAATTTCAATCCGAGAGGAGCCGGCTGGACCCGAGCCTGTCGTCCCAGCGGGGGAAGAGACAGACTGCAGGCCCGCGAGGCAGGGGGCAATTGAGAAGCGCCAAGGGCCAGCCGGACCTCACAGGGGCAGCTGTCACCCTCTTCGAATTTGTGGGATTGTCCTGGCTTCACCCACTCTTTGAATTTACCTTCCCTCTGGCGCTGTGCTGTGCTGTGAATAACCTTAATGATACAATGATGATGTTGCTATTAAAATACTCCCCCATACACATACCTAAAACCAAACCACACCAAACGAAAAAAACCCCAAGCAAACCAAAACCAAACGGTGTTCTCCAGTCCCCTCCTCTTTTCATCCTCTTCCCATTAAAAAATCCAACTTCTCTTCACCTGACATTGATGAAAGGATGATTTTAGAAGTCACATTTAGTTAAAAAAAAATTTTTCTTCATGCACCTGGGCTTTCAGTGGCTCCTAAAGACTGAGGATGCGGAGGCTGCTTTAAAAGGATGGGCAGAAGTCTGCAGAGGCTTGTGGTGGGGGTCTGGCTGGGAGAGATATCCTCAAAGCTCTGGCTCTGGAGCCTAGAGAAAGCAGCCCCTCTCCAAGAGGCTGAGCCCCCATTTCGTCCCCTCTGAGGGATGCAGCCCTACTCCATTAGACCTACCCAGGCTAAATGGCATCCCTTGATCTCCAAATCCTACTGGCTTTTATCTCCAGGGAAAACCCAGAGGAAGAGAGGATCAAACACAGAGCATTCCCATTGAATGCTAAACTGGGGCCGAAACAGAGGAGCCTGGAGTCCCTCTGAGGACCAGGGTCAAGGAGTGGGGGCAGAAAGGTGGCTGTGAGAAGGTGGCATGTTCACGGGGGTAGGTAGAGTGGGTGCCACCCAGGCCCAGCACTCAAAGGTCCACTGGCAACAAGACAGCAGCGCTAAGACAGATACTCGGGAGTCTTCCTGGCTTTGACAGGAGAGAGAGTGAGCCAGGACGTCCTCAGCCTCTGGGTGCTTGTGAGGAAGGTCAGGGTGTGACAGGATCTATGGACAACTCATGGGAGCAAAAGGTTCTGGCATTTGATCCCCCCACTTCCAATTGCTCCTCTCCAATCTCTGAAATATTTCCCCTGTTTTCTGGGCTAGCAGCGCTCAGCAGATGTTGGCTTTGGGATGTGCAGGGAGTGGATGCTACCTTCCAGACCCATCTGCCTCTGTCCCCCAAAGAATTCTTAATGAACATCTTATGGAACTGGGGGAGAAGAGGACAGCAGAAGTGGGGAGACAATCGTTGTCTTTCTTTGAACTTCTTGCTTCCGGCACCTCTTCTATAACTCCAAAGATAGGAGGATTGGAGGAGGGGTGGCAAGAAATTAGAGTAGAGAAATGAAGAAGGAGGAAAGAAAAGCAGGAGATAAAAGCAAAGAGGTAGTGCTACAAGGATTTTTCTTTAGAAGCTGGGACTTTGCCTAAGAATATAGTGAAACCACCCAAATGCAGGGACCATCCTTTCCAGCTGGTTGCATAATACTAGGAGCTCTTGGGAGGGGACAGAGAAAGAGGAGCTAGCCTGGAAGGTGCCCACCTTTTCACCTCCTCAAAGTGAGGAAAGAGCCAGCCCACCTGCCAGGCTCTCATACTTGCTTTGCGTCCATAAGGGGCCATTGTAAAAGGATTGGATAATACCTTCCTGGGAGGCTGTAGCCTCCTGCAAACACCAAGTTCTACAACCCTGCCCCTACCTTCTCCCACCTTGAGATGGGAGTTGGCCTTCCATTCAAAGACTTCCTCCCAAAGACTTAGTAGAGCACCTGGGCAATTGCTCTTTCAGGGCATTTTCAGCAACTTCTCTCTCTTCTATCCCCAGCTTTTGAAGCCAAGGATTGTGGCCCCTGAGAAGGGCCTAAGGGAGGACCCCATGACTCCAACCTCTGCTGACCCCATGTGCTCGGTTTGCTCAACTCCTGCCCTAAATTCTGGAGGGAGGGTGAGCATCGTCTCCCAGCTGGGGACCTCCAGCGCGGCTGCAGTAGGGGCTGCGTTTGCCAGCACCTCTTCACTGGAAAAACCTGTTTCCAGGAGAATTCGTTGACTCTGAATGAATACCTTAAAATGCAGGCAGGAAAAGAATCGAGACCACTTTTAGAACCTCTCACCACCCAACATACCTGAAGTGCCAGCAAGGCCGGATCAAATGGAAAGCGATTTCTTCTATGAATAGCCACCTTCTGGTCAAGACAGCTGTGGAAAGCCTAAGGCCATCTAGATGAGGAGGGAGAATTTAAAACAAAACAAAACAAAATCATCAAACACTTTGAGTCAGGAGGCAACACAGGTCCTCTAAAGAAAAATTAAATATTTATCTCTTGTCCCTTGGGGAAGAAAAATAGCCAAGGCTGGAAGGCGACAGATGAGGTGGGGGAAGAAAAGAAGGAGCAAAGGATACCCCAGGCTCAAAGTCTCCAGACAACTTGTGGCAGGGGATACGTTTTTCAGTAGCTTGTAAAAAACGTCTTTGGAGTCAGTTTGAGGTTAGCTGACAGGGACAGGCAGTTGTAATAATGCGGAGAGAATCACGGCTTCTAAGCCGGCCTTCATAATTCCAAAATGCAGTTATGAATTCTTTCATCAGTGTTGGATCAAGGCACCAAGTTAAGAAAGCAAAAGTCAAAGCAACAATAAAAGAAAAATCAAAAGCGTTTTCAATTACCGAGTCCCGCTGCCCCTGCGGAACTCCCGCGCTCCTTAAGCTCTCTTTTCTTTCTGCGGAATTCCATTTGCATCCCCTCTGACTGGGTGTCTCCCCTCTTAGTGTGTGTGTCTCTCTGTTTTCACACTCTCCTCCCCATTCGAGTGAGGCCCACACCTGGCGCATCACTGCCGAGCCATTAGCTGCGGGTCTCCTTTCATCTTCGCTGTGGCAGACGTTTCTATTTATCCACTTGCGCTCGCCGAGTGGCGTCACCAGCGGTACTGTAATGACGATTGCAGCAGGAGGATGACAGCTTAGAAAGAAGAGGGCAATGGGGCTTCCTCCCAGAGGCGGTGCGGCACAGAGGAGCGCTCGCATCGCAAGGTGACCCCAGCTCCCCACCGCCACCTCCACCTCGCCATCGACACCGCGCCGGGGCCGCTCGGCTCCAGCCCAGTCGCCCGGCCTCTTGCTCCCCTTTGCAGGCAGTCTCTGTCCGACCGCTGGGGTCCGGGGCTTCCCTCCTCCCCCCCTCCGGAGAGCCCCGGGATGGAGAGCCGAAAGGACATGGTCATGTTTCTGGATGGGGGTCAGCTTGGCACTCTGGTTGGCAAGAGGGTCTCCAATTTGTCCGAAGCCGTGGGCAGCCCGCTGCCTGAGCCGCCCGAGAAGATGGTGCCCCACGGTTGCCTGAGCCCGCGAGGCGGCCCTCCGGCTGCCCAGGAGCGCGGAGGGGGAGGCTCGGAGGAGGAGCCGGTCGATGGACTATCGGGCAGCGCCGCGGGGCTGGGCGCCGAGCCTCGGGCAGCCGGCACGGCCCTGCTTGGCCCGGGCCCCCCTGCGGACAGCCTCTCCGGGCCCGGGCAACCCAGTAGCTCAGACACTGAGTCGGATTTCTATGAAGAAATCGAGGTGAGCTGCACCCCGGACTGCGCCACCGGGAACGCCGAGTACCAGCACAGCAAAGGTAGCCACCGCGCCCCTCTGCTCCCCGGGCCTCCCACTGCGCCCACCCTTCACTTCAGCCCAGGCCAGGAGGAAGACACTCCTTTCCCCAGGGCAGAATGGCTGGGGGACCCACCCGAGCAACTCTTCCCTGCTCTCTGAGCCCTGGCCGGGGTCTCCTACTGTGTTCTGGCGTTGGTGGGACTGAGGGCGACAGCTGTACCGGGGGTGGGTGGGTGTAGCAAATCCTGAGCCTGGGGGATTCAAAACGCACCCCAACCCCCCAGTGCTTTGTGGTAATGCTTCAACTGAGCGCGAAGACACCTTCCTCCGGGTAGAGGAAGATCAAACGCGAGTTCGGGCAGTTTGTGGCTGGCGGGGTGTAAGGCGCATCTAGGCTCGGAAGCCAGCAGTCCATAAAGGACCGTAAAATCTCGGCGGACTCTGGCAGCCCGGGTGCTGCAGCCCTCCGACGAGTTTGCACGTCGGTCAGAGGTCCAAATTACCTTGTCACTTCCCGGGCCTGGCGGCGCCAGGTCGGAAATGGTCCCAATGGTCTAATTGCCTTTGGTCTCCGGTTGCATTTGAAAAGGCCGAGATCGGGCCCTCCCCCCCTTCCCTTTCCTTCCCAGTCCCACTTCTCCACCCAAAGGAAAAGGAGCTGTAGGGGGTTAGAGCCCCACCCTTCCCTGGGGTAGGCCCCAAGGGGGGGGGTTACTTTAACTGGAGACCTCCTTCCCACCAAAGGCTAATGGGAGTGGGGGTAGATGGGCCCTAGAAGTCTCCCCCGAGCCAACAATCACTCGGCCAGAGAGGGGTGAAAAACGGGGAGGGATAGCTTATAAGCAGACACTCCTCCACAAAGCCATGGGAATGGGTAGGAACAGCTCAAGAGGGAGGAAAGGCCACCTCCAAGCCTTGGCAGGCAACACCTTGTTAAGTGCCCACCCAACCCCATACCATTTTATCCGTTCACTGCAGACTCCCAACCTCAACATGTGCTCAAAACAACCTGCCCTCCACTCAGATATACCATCCCTGGAACACACACAGCCTAGTAAACGCTTCCACACCTGTGCTGGCATCCTAGTACACATGCAAGAGCAAGGAAATTCACAGCATACACAGCATCCTATAGTGCACCGCGTCCCAGAGTGCATGACGCTCCAGCATAAAGGTGCATCTTCACTCACTTGCCTTTTAAATACGTATCATATGGTCAACTCTTGTCAATGGTGGGCAGAAAGATACAAAAGCACGGACTTTGCCTGTGCCTCAGGGCAGGTGGGGAGGTGGCTGACCCCCTGTATTTAGCATGCCTTAGATCCAGGCCTTCCAGACAGCAGCCAGACCAGGCCTCCCTCAAAACATCTATGTTTCTATCTCAGTGGCAAACCTGAGGGTTGGGGATTTAGCTCAGTGACGCCATGCCTGCCTTGAAAGTGCAAGGTCCTGAGTTCGAACCCTGGTACCAAACAAAACAAAATCAGTGGCAAACCCTTACTCCTTTTCCGGGAGTCCCAGAGCCCCAGCAGAAGCAGTGAATGAGGCACCTGACAGTGTCCCCTTTCACCCTCCCCACCGCCACCAGGCCTTGGGCCTACAGCCCCTGTCAGCGGCATTTGTGTCTGTTGTGTGTGCACACGTCTGTGCTCTGGGCTCCCTGCGCAGGGCCCGGTTCCGAAGCGCTGGCCGGCAGTCCAAACGGCAGCAGCGAGACCCCTAAGAGCAACGGCGGCAGTGGCGGCGGGGGAGGTTCGCAAGGCACCTTGGCCTGCAGCGCCAGTGACCAGATGCGGCGTTACCGTACCGCCTTCACCCGGGAGCAGATCGCGCGGCTGGAGAAGGAATTCTACCGGGAGAACTACGTGTCGAGGCCGCGAAGGTGTGAGCTGGCGGCAGCCCTAAACCTGCCGGAAACCACCATCAAGGTACGCGACCGGGACTCGGAGGCGGGTGTGTGCCCATTTAGCAGGAAGCGAGGACCGACCGTCCACTCCCTAAATCACGTGCCGGGACTCTGCCAGGGTGCAGATTTAAGATTTACCCTCCTGACAGTCTGCAGGCGGCCACAGTTGGCACGAGGTTGATTCTACCCGTTTCGTAGCCAAATAGAAAACAGGGATGGGTGCCCCGAAGGGAGGGGTGAGAGAGGACGAGTTCCTGAGGAAATGCTGCCCGTGGCCTCAGACCCGTGGAATCCTAGGCCCCCACTACTTGCACACCTACACCGGGTCCTGACCACCTGGGGTCCTGGCCCCGCGGGCAGAGGAAAGGGGCTGGAGCCACTCCCTGGACCTCCCACGGAGGGATCCCCGCCGCAGTCGCGGGTGGGGCCTGACCTCGGCAGTTTGGGCCTGCTTTGGCTCCCCTCTGGGATGTGGGCACTGGGCCCAGCCCCGCGGCCCAATTTGCTCCACTCCTCCCCTAGGTGTGGTTCCAGAACCGGCGCATGAAGGACAAGCGGCAGCGGCTGGCCATGACGTGGCCGCATCCAGCTGACCCCGCCTTCTACACGTACATGATGAGCCACGCGGCGGCCGCGGGCGGCCTGCCCTACCCCTTCCCGTCGCACTTGCCCCTGCCCTACTACTCGCCCATGGGCCTGGGCGCCGCGTCCGCCGCCTCGGCCGCCGCCTCGCCCTTCAGCGGCCCGCTGCGCCCGCTCGACACGTTCCGCGTGCTCTCGCAGCCCTATCCGCGGCCCGAACTGCTGTGCGCCTTCCGCCACCCGCCGCTGTACCCGGCGGGCCCGGCGCACGGACTGGGCACCTCGGCCGGCGGCCCCTGCTCCTGCCTTGCCTGCCACAACGGCCCCGCCAACGGGCTGGCGCCCCGGGCCGCCGCCGCCTCGGACTTCACTTGTGCCTCCACCTCGCGCTCGGACTCCTTCCTCACCTTTGCTCCCTCTGTGCTCAGCAAGGCCTCCTCCGTCGCGTTGGACCAGAGGGAGGAGGTTCCCCTCACCAGATAAGGAGCCGCCCGCGGGCTGCCGGCTCCAGGATGCCCCTGGGGGCCACCCCCCCGGGACTCAGCCAAGGCCCCTCCTGCCCCCAAGACACGGAGGGGAAAGGAGAAGGCCTCAAAGGACCAGCGGGACTCGGCCTCGAGGACAGGGAGGTCCCAGAAGCGAGCAGCAGTGGCTGGCATTTGGGAGCAGGAGTGGGCATGGGAAAGCTGAGGTCCAGAGAGAGCTTCCTTTGGGGTTCTATTCACCGTTCTTCACCGGACCCACCACGCCTGACTCGGGTTGAGGCCATGACCCCACAGATAAACAAAACTTAGCAGCAAACAGCAACGCATATCCAGCCCCTTTGCCTGCCATCCCCTCCCCTCACGCTGCTCACCTGGGCCCCCCTCTCCTGCAAAGGCCAAACACTGGAAAGGGAAATTGCTGTGTCTCTGAACAAAATGCTGTGTATGCAGAGCAGGTAGAGATTAATCTTCACCAGCTTTTCCAAGGCATGGCAAGGGGCTTGTGGATGGCAACATATCAGCCCCCTTAGGGGAGAGACCAAGATGATTTACTGGCAGGGAGAATTTTGCCCCTTGGCCAGGAACCCGGGGCTCTCTCACCTTCCTAGAACCCCAGTTGCTTAGCATCTTCTGGTTCTGACATCTACCTGATTTTTTCCCTCACTCCAGCTTTGTGACAACTCTCAACTTGCTCTTCCAGCTCTCCTCCCTCCACTTTTTGTTTGACGTTGGCAGGGAAGCTGCAGCTGCCCCAGGGCCCCTTGGTAGAGGCCAAGTCTCTCCTCCCAGGACCGAGCACACACCCTGATTAGCAAGTAATGTGTGCAAGGAGGGCTTCTGAATGTTGAATGTATGTATGATAATGATCACCATGGGGCTGGCCACCAAACCCAGAGCCGAGCCGTTAACAAGGCACCCAGGGAAGAGCTTAGGGAGTCAGAAATTCACCTTCCTCCCTCAGCATCTGGTGGCAAACTAGAGGCTATTTTCATCTTTTTCCTGTTCACCTTCACAACACCAGGAGCTTTCTTCTGGCCCTTCCCTTTGCATTTGGCATTTTACATCCTCCTCTCATCTTCCTCTGAAGTTGCCACAGGGGCTTGACTTTTCAGAAACCCTATGGGGTGGGGAGGGCCATCTCTATCCTTTGACAGGGTTTGTTTGGGATCCAGTCTCACTCTCACTCCCATACTCATTCTTGTCACCAGTTTTTGAGGAAGAGGAGAACTTTTACCCCCAATGCAAGCCTCATCCCAACTGGGAGGGAGTGATTCTTCCTGTAGGGAATGAATTTGGCTTGGTTTGGGGTTTTCCTTTGAAGCCCAAAGAATTTGCTGTTATGATTTGTTAACCATATTGCAATAAAAGCTGGACATGATTCTCACTTTAGCATTTAAATATATTTTTTTCAGCAGACAACACATTGACTCTTATTTTAATTGATTAGGTAGGAAAGAGTCTCTTAAGCCCCTGTTGGACACTATCAGATTCCAACCAGTCACTGCAGGGGGATGAAGGGAGGATTTTATCTGCCCTGCGGTGCATGCTTCCTTAATTCAGGCAATGCTGGGGCACCTCTGCGGGGAAACCGGATTCCAAAGTGCTGACTCCATCCAGGGCTCACCCTTCTGATGGATGGGTCCCTGTCGGGTGGCTGTAATCCTTTGAGGAAAGGAGACCTGGCTTCATCTCCCTGAGACCTACCTCTGCCTCAGCCCAAGATGGGGCAGGTGGGGCTGTGGCAGTGAGCACTGCAGAGTTAGTTAGGTTTGCTGGTCTAGCTGGGTCTGCACCTGAGGGGAGGGGCAGAGGCTGGAGTCGGGTGGGATCCTCTCGGTCTGAATGACTCTCGGACTAGAAGTCCTCGGGAAGATGGAATTCTAGGGCAGTTAGAGGAAGGGACAGGCAGTGCTCAGTAGCAACCTCCCCCCAGGCCGAGGTAAGCGGGCTGCTTCTGGAGTCCGGCAGAAGAAGGTGGGTGCCTTCGGGAGGATAGGAGGCTTTAGGTTGCTTGAAAGCCCATGTCTCCGCAGGCAGGTGAGGACTCGACTACTCTCCTCCCTCCTGGGGCTCCAGAGGCAGCCCCCCTGGGCATAGCGGCCCCTGCCCTCCCAAGCTAAGCCTGCGCGGAAGTTTCCGCACCCACACCCCCAGCTTCTCGCCCAGACCCGCAGCTCCCTCCGCAGCCGGAAGCCCTCAAGTGCCAGATCTCGGCAAATTTTGCGGTTGCTCCGCATCGGGCAGAGATTGCTTGCGACAGGTAAATGGGTTGCGGGTTGCCTTAATGCCAGGCGTATTTTCAGTTAATAGGGAGGGAAAATGAGGTGTCTGCAGCGATATTGGAAAGTACAAGATCGATGATCCGGCCTCGTGTCCAATCAGCAGCCTTTAATTGACTGTATTTTCTGGGTAATTGAGCCTCTCTTCCTCCAAATTGAAGTGGAAGATATAACAATACATCTTGCCAGGAGGAATTACTCATTGCTTCATAATGAAATTTCCCTTTTGCCAAGGTTTGCGGTTTGGCGCTAGGCACCACCTCTCACACTCGGTCTCCCCTCCCTCCCACCTGCACCGGGCAAGCCCATCTGGCCTGAGACGCCCCCGTTTGGTATCGAGGTGGGAGAGGACCATGAAGAAGGCCTTCCCCTAGCTACAGCCGCACATCTCTATCTGTAGAAGGAGACGGATACTTTGGCCAACAGGGCCTGACATGGGATTGTTTTCGTTTCTTCAGCTTTAGGAGCATCTGCGTTTAGCTGTGCCTGGTCCCTGTCCCATTGCCCATTGTGCAGGTGGGCAAATGTTGGATCCCGGTATCGAACGAACAGCTGCTTCCTCCTCCCTCACCCCACTTTGGGGCTCCGAAGCCACTCCAGGCGAAGTCTGACACTTCTCTCCAGACTCACATCTTCCCATCGCACCTCAGTCTGGTCGGTGGTGGGACCTGGGAACACGGCTGATACCCAGGCCGGTTCGCCTAGCTGGTGAGCCTAGCCACCCACAGCCAAGTGCATGCAGGGCCAGGCCGTCGCCGGCTTGTTAGAGTGTGATTGATTGCCTTATTAAAGCGTGTTCTTGTAAGTGTGACCAAACTGATTGCATTGCATATGTTTGGGATAATGCTCATTTTAAACAACAGGATAAAGCGGATGAGCTCTGCAGAGCCTCGGAGAAGATGAAATGATTCCAGCCAGCAGCTCTCTAACGCTGGCATTAAATTGCCCAGTTACATAGCAAATCACTTGGTTCTTCCATCCTTATCCCCATTTTTTTTTTCTGGCCTGCTGTTTGATGGTTTCTCTAGTGACTATATCAGCTCCACCTTTAGGCTCCACTCCTGCCCTGGAACACCCCAGGCATGGAATCCTCCTCCCCATGCCTGACAGAGGGAGAAAAAATTCAGAATGCACCCTCTCACCAGAACCCTCCTAGAGGAACACGGCTCTAGACAGTCATCCCAAACAGGACCCTGGGTGCCCCCACAGTAAGTCTCTCATAGTCCCTTCCTTCATTTAAGTTTAAAAGGTTCTTTTGTTCCCCAGGCTTCTCCCGGTCGGTTGCTTCCATTATTCCCCAAATGAAGACACACCCGCCACCATATGTTGGCGGGAGAGAATGGGTGTCACAGTGGTCAGTTGCTGAAGATGTCCAGACAAATGACATTCTCCAAGTGGGAGAGCTTTCTTTGCCTACTTAGGGTCCTCTCCAGAATAGGAGAGGGAGGGCAGGTTGGAGCAAAAACTGGAATTTCTTCTGATTATCTCCCTATTCCCACACCTCTAACCATTCACTGAGGCAGGTTTTCCTTCTGTGCAATTTCCTAACAAAGAAATCCTCAGCTTGCGTCCACCCACTCCCATTCAGAAGCTGGAGAGCCAAACTACTCTAAGATTGAACTTCCTAAGGGATACCTCTGAAATATGCTGGAATTCTGATTTGTTCAAGATGATGACAGTCATCAGGATGAGTCAAAAATGATGTCACTCTTCAGGGTGTCATTTGTAAGTGTGATAGCACAGATTCGTTTGTAGGACCCAGCTAAAAGAGATCTGGATAAGTTACTAGATGCATCGGCCAATCTCTTCCATCACTCAGCTTCTCTGCAGCTCTCCCGGAGCAGGCACATCAGACTGCAATAGGGCAAAACTAAGGTCCAGCTCACCATTTGTGCCAGCTTCTGGGACCTGGAAACATTGACCCTAATGGGGGAAAGAAAACCAACTATCTAACGCAACCTACCATCTACAAAGCAAACAAATACAAAGTCGTTTCCAAAACCGCCTTCTCAGCAAATAAGTATGTGATATTCTGAGCAGGAGAGAGAAAGATTGCCACTTAAAAATAACATGAAAGCATTAAGTAATTATTTAAAACAAGGCTGTTTAGAAAAATATTTGTATTTATTGCAGCTGCTCAATTGGCCTCGTTAAAGTCAGCAAGCATTTAAATTGTGTTACAATCTCATTTAAATCCTGCTCCGTTCCAGCAGGCTGAAGAGCTTGAATAGACCAATCACTTCATAATGATGATGAATGAGAAATTAATTCAGATACAAGCAAGACAATTTAGGCCTTCATCTGTTTAAATAGCCTTCCAATATTATTCGCGATCGCGGGTCACAGATTGAATCAATTGTCCAATCTTGTGAAAGTCATATCCTTGCATCTTCATCGAGATTATTTATAGCACAGCGAGGGCTGCTGAAAGGTATACGCCGTTAACAGGGACAATTACTTAAAGGGAAGCGTTTATAAAATGGAAAACAAATGCCAGGCTTGGCAACAAATGAGATCAAAAGCAGTCATTCGAAGCTGGCTACTGGAGGGAAGGGAGTGAGAGCGCCCTCAGGATGAGGGGTGCTCGGGTCACTTCAGACCTTGCCGTGGCCCAGGTGAGCTGGAGCTCCTAGGCGCGTGCGCCGCCGCCGCCGTGGCGACCCGGGGACCTTCTTGCCTCCGCCTGCTTCCAGCTTTCACCTCCCTGGCGCAGTCGGCAGCTAGTGTGGCCGAGAACGGGCATCCTAAGCAACAGCACCCCGTGGACTCCGACCTAGGGCTGTCGGCTTTATGCGCACTGGGCTGGAGACTCCAGCTGGGGTCTGACTTCACTGTTGGGGGGCAGCAGGGCGCATGGGCCTCGATGGCGGAGTGGCGAAGCCTGGGGCACGCGTACTGGGGACGGTGGCTTCTAGAGGCTCCTCCTTGATCCTGGAGGCGCAACCTCCTTTTAAACTTAGCCTCCTTCTAAACTGATGGCGGGAAAGGGGCCCCATTTCCACAGGCCACTCACCACTGCTGTCCAGGGACATGAAGCGAGTCTGGAGTTGTTCCACTCCTTGTGAGTTTGAGCCCCTTCCAGGGTCGGCACCCTGGAGCTCTCCAGCCTGCGAACAGTGTCCTATCCTCCCAAAGTAGAGCCCTTTGCTTCCCCGCTGAAGGGCTCTTTCCTTGAAATAATCCCTCCAGGGCGAGGCCAGGCCCCTGGGTCGCCCTCCTCTGGCATCCAGGAGCCTCACGAGGAACTGTCACAGTTGAGGTGACTGTCACGGCTTTCAGGCCACAGGTGCCTCCCTGAGGTGTTTACTTCTCCTCGAAATGCCACAGGTGCCTCCCTGAGGTGTTTACTTCTCCTCTCGGCCTGTTTAGAGAAAGACCAGAAACAGGGAAGTGAGTGCGGGGGCGATGTGTTTGTTGCTCGGGAACGGGGGACTGGCCCGCTCGACTACCGCCCTGTGCCGTCTACAAGGGCTCTGCGCGGGCGCGTCGGCCCCGGGCCGGAGAGAGCAGAGCCATCTAGGCGGCGCTCTTTGGGAGAAGTTAAGTGAGGTGGACTCAGAGCAGGGAAGCAGGAAGATCATTTGATGTGCTGAGCCTGGAAGAAGTGAGGAGAGCAGGTGGCCCCCAGAGAACACCTGGGTGGAGGAGAAGTCCACGGGGCACAGTACGCGCTCCCCCCGTCCTGTCCACATCGAGGTGCTTTAGATTTTTTTCTCCCCTCCTCTCCCCTCCCCTCCTCTATATTTTTGTGTTTGAAACAAAAGCCTAACTAACGGATTCCTGGCGCTCAGAAGACCCACTCCGGGGAGCGACTTTGATGTATTGCTGTCCAATTAGTGCCTTTAATTGGTGTCCTCAGGGACAGGCAGGCCCGGAGCTGGGACACAGCCTCCTCTCGCTTCTCCTACACACTGGAAAGGTAAAATTTATAACGCACGGTAACAGCCCCCTGGAGAGCGAAAGAGCGAGGGAGGCAGGGCGGGAAGGGAGCGAGGAGGCAGCCTGGTCCTGCGGAGGACGCACCCTCAACCTCGGGAGTCCCGGGGAGGAAGGCCCAGCCCCCTCGGGTTCTGCCCAGTTTTCTGTGCAGCAGGGTTGGGGCGACT